CCATTGCCCAAGCAGAACTGCTGGTAATAGGAGGGGCAGCCATGGAGGCTGGACTACCAGAGGGGCTGGCAGTGTTGGGTCCAGCACCCTCCCAGGCCCTGGGGCAGCCCAGACACCTCCTCAGACCGGGGCAATGGGCAGTCCCTCTGGACTTGTTTGCTCGCTGTTCCGCCTGACCCAGGGCCAGGGTTCTCTACTGACTATGTTGTTTACTGCACCACCTGAAATAAGGTCTGGGCTAATGAACTACTATTAAAACTGTTTGTTTGCTCTGAACTAGGGATGGGCTTTAAAACTGTTTGTGTTTGTTTGCTGCTCTGCCCTGCACTAGGGCTGGGCCGTAAGACTGTTTGTTTGTCACCTGCCCTCAACTAAAGCTTGGGCCACAATACTGAACCAGACTGACTATTGGCTTGAGGCCCAGAAATAAAGGGGGCTCTACAGACATGGGCAGAGTGTCCGCCTGCTGACCAGAGGAAGAGGAATCCCTTCTCGAGCCCCACAACGGGCTACAAGGTCTTACTAGGAGGAGGGAGAAAAATTGTTCTCCTTGGCCTCTGATGATAGGACAAGCAGCAATGGTCTTAAACTGCAGCAAGGGAGGTTTAGGTTGGACATTAGGAAAAACGTCCTGTCAGGTTGGTTAAACACTGGAATAAATTGCCTAGGGAGGTTGTGGAATCTCCATCACTGGAGCAGGTTAGATAGGCATCTGTCAGGGATAATCTACATGGTGCTTGGTCCTGCTGTGAGGGCAGGGGACTGGATTCAACTTCTCAAGGTCCCTTCCAACTCTAGGATTCTATGATCTAGTAGTTGCATAAGTAGGGTCAAGTTGCTGGGATGATAAGCATTCCAAAACTGGGGTGCACGGAAGGAGAGAGGAGATCGTCACATCTGGGATTTGATTTGAGCCCAGCTCAGATGTGATCTGCCATCGATTACAAATTTTGGCCAAACCTGAGTTTCAATTTGACATATTCAAAGCTCTGTTCTGAATCCAACTTGTTTTGTCCCCCACCTCACCCCTGGAGCAGACCCTTAACATCCGGGCATAGGTGAGCATTTGGTTCTGGCTTGGATTAGGCCAACATCTTAGAGTGGAAATCTTAAGAGAAGAATTCATTTGACCAGATTTCCAACTACTATAGGTTGAAGTCATGTGAGAAGCGAGGGAGAGATTTCGATGCAATTTTTCCCAGTAAAGCCAACAGCGTATTGTGGGCCCTGTTTCTAACGGAATGTAATTTCACGTGTAAAACTGCAGTACGGTCTGAAAGGTCCTAACTTGTTTTCCTGAAACTGACTCCTCAGTGAGAAATTCTTAAAATAACTAGATAAACATTGAATTAAAAGCAGTTTCCTAGGACAAAACAAATAGAGCGAAGTTAATATCTCTGCCAAAAGCCTGGGGCTAGTCTCATGCAGCAGCTGGCCTTTATCCTTTCAAGTTGTTTTTGAAGGGCAGAGATCGCCTGCACTGATCATTTACCAAGCACTCTGTTGTAACAGCTCTGGAAATTGTTTCACCATTGGAAGCCATAACATGACCTTTCTACGTTTATGGATCCCCAAAAGAGCATCTTTGGTCTTCTTATCCTGCTGGGAAAGGCTCTTTCTTAATTCACAACATTGACAGAATTGTCACATGCTAAATAATAAACATATATTGATTATTGTCACCATAAATGGATTCACAGCTTCTCATAGATGAAAGCCTGAAAAAATGCAGCTATTTTAATCTCGTAGGTGTTTCTACTACATACTATTGTATTGTGGGGATGTTAAAACAGTTAACCATTTTAACATAGGGCCTGACATCAAGCCCCACCATGCCTGATCCTGGCAGCCCACCACTTAGTGTGTCAGTCCCTCTGAGGCCAGGGCTGCTCTGGCCTGGCACAGCTGGCCATCACTGGAGTTCACTAGCAAGGGCTGGTTAACCAGTAAGCCTCATGCTTACATGTTAACTAACAACCCTATGTAGTACAGTATTTAGATGGGATTGACACCATGTCTTTAAGGTCAACAAACTCAGCTTTGTTACACCGAGTGGGAGAAACAAATTCCAGATGTGAAAGTACCTGACCTCTTTTACACACAATCACATTTTAATTTTTTATCTGCATGTATGGAGGAAGGTAATGTTCTCATCCCAGTGAAGACTGCACACCATGCTTCAAAGTAAAAGGATTAAAGGAAAGATTAAATAATAGGGTTTAAAAAGGATTCACAGGAAGAAGAAAGGGACAAGACTTTCGGAAACAGTCCATAGGCACGTAGAAGGAGGTTGGAGACCAGTGTAGTCTTTGAAGAATCAGACTATTCATTAGTTGAACTAAGCTAAACTTTCAGTATAGTTTTAACATAGCACCATACACTCATCCTGTAGTCTTCCATGGGAACCTTCACTAGAGGAGTGTGCTTCGCTTGACCCAAAGTATCTAGAAAATAGGAAACTGGGAAGGGAAACTACAGTGCTTACAGTGGGGAAAAAAGTTAAATTGTTGTGTCTCATTATTCACATTTAAATATAAATTCTGGATTTTTACTATATACCTATGGACTAAAACTGACCTAGCAACATTTTTCTTTTAGGCTATGGAGCCCATGTGGTAGTTGCCATTCGATAGCTTGGACTCTCTTGGAGCCCATCTCCGGGGCTTCCTATTTGGTTACGCAGAGGCCACTCATGAATAAACAAGATATATAGCCAATATCTAGGCACAGCTGGGTACCCTGAGTACTCTGAGGCATAGCTCAGAGTACTAAAGTATGTTCTTAGAATCATAGAACACTAGAATTTGAAGGGACCTTGAAAGGTCATCAAGTCCAGTTACTTGCCTTCACAGCAGGATCCAGTACCGTCTAAACCATCCCTGATAGATGTCTATCTAACCTGCTCTTAAATATCTCCAAAGATGAAGATTCCACAACCTAGGCAACTTATTCCAGTGTTTAACCACTCTGACAATCAGGAAGCGTTCCAACCGAAATCTCCCTTGCTGCAATTTAATCCCATTACTTCATGTGCTATCCTCAGAGGCCAAGGAGAACAATTTTTTTCCCTCTTCCTTGTGACATCGTTTTAGATACCTGAAAACGACTATCATGTCCCCTCTCAGTCTTCTCCTTTCCAAAGTAAACAATCCCAATTCTTTCAGTCTTCCCTCATAACTCATGTTCTCTAGACCTTTAACCATTATTGTTGCTCTTCTCTGAACCTTCTCCAATTTTTCCACATCCTTCTTGAAATGTGGTACCCAGAACTGGACACAATAATTCAACTGAGGCTTAATCAGTGCAGAGTAGAGAGGAAGAATGACTTCTCATGTCTTGCTCATAACACATCTGTTAATGCATCCCAGAATCATGTTTGCTTTTATTGCAACAGCGTAACATTGTGGACTCATATTTAGCTTGTGGTTCACTGAGACCCCTAGATGCCTTTCTGCAGTACTCCTTCCTAGACAGACATTTACCATTCTGTATGTGTGAAACTGTTCCTTCCTAAGTGGAGAATTTTGCATTTGTCCTTATTAAACTTCATGCTATTTACCTCAGAGCATTTTTCCAGTTTGTCCACATCATTTCGAATAATGACCTTGTCCTCCAAAGCACCTACTTCTTCAGATGCTTTAAGTTAACAGTTAGCAACCAATCTCTCCTACCTCCACCTTCCCTCTGGTGGAGACTTCTCACTGATGTTCCTCTCTCCGCCCCCAAAGACAAATTGGAGGACCTGTCTATGTACAATTTTATGAATTCTGATGGTTATAAAATTATTTTATTTGGGAATGTCTCTGTGTGGATGTGGACTCCACCACTTGCTGACATGGGCTGTGGTAGAGTACCCACCAGACCAGGGCAATGGATAATCATTAACAACTGTATGCTGATGAGATTAGCTGAAGTTAGTTTTAGCAACTCTCTGTGCAGGGAGGGGGAAGTGGACAGAGTGGAAAATTCCCTGATAGTACAAAGATGTCAAAAGCAGGAAGAAGAAAGGGAAAAGACTTTTGGAGAGACAGGAAGCATTCGGGCAGGAAAAAAGAAGAGATAAGCAGGCTTTTGTAGCAATGTGGTAGACTGGTTTAACTGCAGGATGAGCCAAGATCAGAAACAGCTAACTACATATGGGGGGGAGGGGCACCAAGATTATGAAGAGAAGTCATGTGCAGGAAAGGGACTCTGGCTCTGCCCATGCGGAGAAGAGTGAGGTCTCTGCCCAAGTCCAAAGAATGCTCCAGAATGGTGAGGAACTCGTGCCAAGGAAATGCTTGTAGATATATTTGTTATTTTGTATGGCTCCATGCATTTCCCATGCTACTGTACTAAGTAAAGAATGATGGTGTTTTACAAACCTGTGCAAAGTCAGTCTGTAGATTTTCACTATTATATGTCCCTGAAGAGGTAAACGGTAAATTAGAAACTCACATTCAGGGGAATACGCACACGATGCTCAGGAGGCTAAGTACAGGAAGAGGACACTAATTCTAGGAATTAGGCAACGGGGCTTCAGGGTGCCCCCCGCTATGAAAGCAAACACCAGGGCTGCACCTGGAGTGTGTACCTGTACATCTAAATCCAGGGACAGTATCTAAACTCTGCCAGGCCCCACCAAAGTTAAGAGCACGTGGGAGTCAGCATTTGGATCCCCTCACAGCCATCTAGGGAGTATCCAGCAGAGGACAACAAATCTGCAAAAGACCCTCCTCAAATTCCCCAGAATTAAACCAAACCGAAGTCCAAACTTTTAGAACAAGCAGTCAAGAAATCTGGCTATTGTCAAAGTCAATCTGGCAGCACCTTATCCAATCAGCAGGGTGGTGGTCCCATCTCCTGAGCCCTGTGGAAGCAACAGAGGGTTGGAATAAAAAACCAAGGGGCAGGTAGGAATGGAATTTTGAGAGGTGGATTAAAAGACAGGAGCAAAACATTTGGACACACAAAGTTTAACCTGGCTTTTGGAGTCCGTCATTACAGCCCTGTGGGGTTCTACTGACGCATTTATGTTCTTGCTGGACACATAGCACAATAGTGTTTCAAGCACCTTGAGACAATAAAGCAAACAGCACCTCCATTTTGAGGACATCCAACAAGGAATGCTGAAATTTATTCATCAAACTTTCATACATCCAATAAAGACCTCTGACTTTATACTTACAATTTACAACAGCAGTAGAAAAGGAAATGGTGAAATGTGCTGTATTAAAGTGCAATGATGTGTATATGATCACAAAAATAATGGAAAGAATGCTGCAGAGACAGCTGAAAGAACACAGTCTCATTCTAGGACTGTTTGGGAGCAATATATTTAAGTAAATTATGTTACAGATCATTTACAAAATAACTTACAAGAAGACAAACCCATATCGCTGCACATTGCTATTTCATTATCACAGATCAGGCTAAACAGTCCTGGCCAGCACAGTTTTGTACAGGATAATTTAAGGAAGGAAGGAATAGAGGAATTCTTTTTTGGAAATGTATAAAGTAAAAACCCTGATCAGCCTTCATACTGCAGTATTGCAAGAAACCTAAGTAGTTATGAATTGTAAAGTGACACATTTTCAGCAGCATGAAGACTATAAATACATCCTTTACATTAATATATATATGTACACACACACACACACACACAGAAACACATACATACATATATTTATACACACATTTATGCATGGACCATAGCCAGCTGCATATTGATTGTAATTGGGTTAGGAATCATTTCTGGAAAGTAGAAAAAGTAAGATAGTTCATCTGAGACATTTCTCTTTTAGCTGTTTCCATGATTGAGTATGAAATTCTTATATTAAGTTAGACTTCTAGGTGCTGAGCACCAGAGCTCCCATTGAACACAACAGAAGCTCACTGCACTCAGTGCTTCTGAAAAAAATCAAGCCCTCAACATTCCAGATTATTTTAAGTAATAGTTATAGAGACCAGGAAAAATTTTGTTTCAGTATAAGAAAAAATACATATATCTGAATGTAGCAAGGAATGAATTGAAGGAATTTTCAATACAGTACACACACAAGCGGATACCCTGTGTGCATTTGTAAGGCTGAATTGCAAAGAAAATCTGATGAGGTGAATTTTTACAGCATTTACATTATACCCTGAAAAACTGCATGTTATGATTTTCCTCCCTTTAAAAAAAAACAATTAAAATATTTGTCCACAATGTAGTTCAGATTTTTTTTAAATAAAGTATATTTCCCCACCCTCCACTTTCATAGAAAAAATACACAATTATTTAAATGTTTCCATCCTTTTCAGTAAATCTACAAACATACATCCTTAGCTAAAAGGCTCAGGTTTCTAACCCTTACATAAATCATCAGCATTAGGAAAGCTCTTCAGCTATATAGTGCAGCTTTAATAGTTTCATTTTCCTGTAACCATCTTCTAACTGGAAACCGCTAAGAAATCACTTAAGTAATACAAACATTTTTTGTTTCAATGTGTATCCTTGTAACGAAAAATAATTTTGTATCAAAGATGCTATTAAATCGCCAATGTTATGTGTAAACAGTGATTCTTGGTAAAGAACTTGGTTTAGAGGCCAAAATACCTCAAAAATGGCCATTGGGGACACTGTAAAAATGCTGGAAAAGATAAAATAGTCTCTTCTTTTGATGCTGTTGCGGTCCAGGAATTGTTCATTTCTTTTGCAGTACAGTCTGTGAAGATGAATTTTACTGCGGAAAGCACAGTGCTAAAAATTCAAGAAAGGAGAATGGCTGGACCTTCATTAAATTCCCAGATATTGTAGAAGAGACTCCATGCACTGCATTAACCCAGAAGTATCCTTAGAAGAAGATTTTTGGGAGAATGAACTTTAAACTGAGATTTCTTATCCTTATTTCTGTATTTGTATCCTTATTATGCAATTATTTTTTATTTTATTATGCTACTATAGAATTTATCACAGAGGAACACATTCCTGTTAAATCCAGTTCTTCTTCTGGTTGTGGTAAAATGAGGTGTCTATAGACTTGATTGCAATATCCATGGGAAAATGTACGTTGAGACACATGTCAAATCAGAAGCTGCTAGAAGATCCCATTTTAGATAATTTACTTTTCTGTACAGTATCAGACTTCACCTACTTTTTCATTGAGCTCTTCCCAGAGATGGCTCCATAAATCACTATTTAAAACATGAGACAGGCAACACATACACGCTGGATCTCCATTTCAGTCCAGTCATTGGGAAGTCTGCACAAGATGGTGAAAGTTCCCAGGAGAGAAATTTTAATGTTAGCCCTTCATATCTGAGAAGCTGGTGCTGCCAGCATTGCCACTTTCACTGTAACTTGATGATGAACTCAAAGTACTGCAGCCAGTGCCTGATTCTGGAGGAGGAGGGAAAACAATCACAAGATACACGTTATGTCATGTGTTTGTTCAAAATGCTTACTAAAGAAATCTTTAGCAAAACTGACAATTGCCACATGTACAGTTAATCTCTTACCAGAGCTGCTTAAAGACTGAGCTGATTTTGAGTTGCCAATGAGCATCAATAAATTGTTGGCTGGTACCAAACCTTCTTTCCCAGTGCTCAGATTCTTCACATACCTAAGAAAATAATGTTACTGTCAAACTGTTTCATTTGATTTTTTAAGTATGCTCTTTTTACACACACAGAGATTGTTCAGATAATCATAGAACTGGAAGGGACCTTGAGAGATCATCAAATCCAGTCTCCTGCCCTCATAGCAGGACCAAGCACCGTCTAGACCATCCCTGACAGATGTCTGTCTAACCTGCTCTGTGATGGAGATTCCACAATATCTCTAGGCAACTTATTCTAGTGTTTACCCACCCTAACAGTCAGGAAGTTTTTCCTAATGTCCAACCTAAACCTCCCTTGCTGCAATGTAAGCCCATTGCTTCTTGTCCTATCCTCAGAGGCCAAGGAGAACAATTTTTCTCCCTCCTCCTTATAACACCTTTTTAGATAATTGAAAACCATTATCATGTTCCATCTTAATCTTCTCTTTTCTAAACTGAACAAGCCCAATTCTTTCAGTCTTCCATCACAGCTCATGTTTTCTAGGTCTTTTATAATTTTTGTTGCTCTTCTCTCTCTGGACCGTCTTCAATTTTTCAACATCTTTCTTGAGATGTGGTACCCAGAACTTGGCACAATATTCCAACTGAGGTCTAATCAGCACAGAGTGTATAATATCGGAATTGATGAGCTACCAGTGTGCATTTTAAAGTAGCCACACACAATTTTTCCATACCAAAGTCTGTCCTCCCCTTCACGGATCAGCTGAACGAGGTCTCCACTTTTTACTGCAAGATCTTCAGACCCTCGTTTGTCATAATCAGTCACAACAGTGTATTTACCAGGAGTCTAAAGGCACAGAAAAAAAACAAATGAAGCTTTACATTAAAAATAATAGATACTGACAAAAATTAAGTAGCTATTGGAATTTTTTAAAACAACAATGAAGCCAAAGTGAATAAACCTAACCATTACACCAATATGTGAAGTCAGTATATTTATTATCACAAACATTCTGAATGACTTTCTGAGAAACATTGGTAGATATTAATGACATAAAAAACTGAACAATGAGTAATCTTTTTATTACTGACCTCGGCACTAGGAGTGTGCTAATAAAGTTTGCGGATGACACAAAGTTGGGAGGTATTGCCAATTCAGAAAAGGATCGGGATATCATACAGGAAGATCTGGATGATCTTGTAAATTGGAGTAATAGTAATAGGATGAAATTTAATAGTGAGATGTGTAAGTGTAAGGTTATGCATTTAGGGATTAATAACAAGAATTTTAGTTATAAGCTGGGGACACATCAGTTGGAAGTAACAGAAGAGGAGAAGGACCTCGGAGTTCTGGTTGATCACAGGCTGACTATGAGCCGCCAATGTGACATGGTCGTGAAAAAGGCTAATACAGTTTAGGGATGCATTAGGCGAGGTATTTACAGTAGACATAAGGAGGTGTTAGTGCCGTTATATAAGGCATTGGTGAGTCCTCATTTGGAATACTGTGTGCAGTTCTGGTCTCCCATGTTCAAACAGGAACAGGTACAAAGAAGGGCCACGAGGATGATTCGAATGGAAAACCTGTCTTATGAAAGGAGACTCAAGGAACTTGGCTTGTTTACCTTAACCAAAAGAAGGCTGAGGGGAGATATGATTGCTCTCTTTAAATATATTAGAGGGATAAACGCCAGGAAGGGAGAGGAATTATTTAAGCTCAATACCAATGTGGACACAAGAACAAATGGATATAAGCTGGCTATTAGGAAGTTTAGACTCGAAATTAGGTGAAGGTTTCTAACCATCAGAGGAGTGAAGTTCTGGAACAGCCTTCCAAGGGAAGTAGTGGGGGCAAAAGACCTATCTGGCTTCATGATTAAGCTGGATGGGTTTATGAAGGGGATGGTTTGATGAGATAACTTGATCTTGCAATTAATTGACCTTTCACTATCAGTGGTAAATAGGCCAATGGTGGGAAGATAGGAGTTACTATAGAGAACTTTTTTCTGGGTATCTGGTTAGTGAGTCTTGCCCACATGCTCAGGGTTCAACTGATCACCATATTTGGGGTCGGGAAGGAATTTTCCTCCAGGGTAGATTGGCGGAGGCCCTGGAGGTTTTTCGCCTTCCTCTGTAGCATGGGGCATGGGTCACTTGTGGGAGGATTCTCTGTATCTTGGGGTCTTTAAACCATCATTTGAAGACTTCAATATCTGAGATATAGGTGAGTAGTGGGTGGGTGAGATTCTGTGGCCTGCATTGTGCAGGGGGTCAGACTAGATGATCATAATGGTCCCTTCTGACCTTAAAGTCTATGAGAACAGTTAGTATCTTCTCAGCTTTATGTAGCATGGACATTCTAATTGACTGTTTCTTTTCCCTTTCTTTTTCTTTCTCCTCCCTCCCCCCCTCCTCAATCCTCTATTTAATTTAGAAACTGGACCTTTACTAACACCATTCATCTGAAGAAACAGGTTGTGCCCATGAAAGCTCATGGTACCATCTACATATTTTGTTAGTCTCTAAGGTGGTGCTGCAAAGACTATTTGTTGTTTTTAAAGTTTTTCCTGTTACAGTCTAACTCGGCTACCCCTCTGAAGCATTGGTACATCTCTCTATTATATCAATGAACAACAACAACAACAAAAACAAACAAGCAAAAAAAAATCCCAACCCAAACCTATAAATGTATAGGTTCCAAATACATTTATATATGTGATTTCACTGGATAATATCACTTTCTAACTCACTATTTTTCATTACAGAGGCAGTAAACAATAGACACCTGTGTTGGTTTTCATAATTCTATTGTATGGAATATAAACAATAAATATGAGTCCAAATGACAAAAAAATCTTCACAAGGTATTTATGCAAACACAACCTTAAATTGGTATCACTGTGAATTTTGCTGGATTAAGGACATCAAGCCTGGGGTTGTATTTTTTTCCTGCAAGCTCAAACAAAATTCCCATGTACTAGATACTTTTATTATATTAATTAGCAATATTCATTTCACTAAATGGGTAGGAAAATATTTCTGGTTACCAGCTTTATCTCTTCTCCCACTCCTCCTTCTTCTTCCTCTGCATCTGATGAATTAAGTGGGTCCTCAGCACTAGACCAACCATCATTTTCTTCAGAGGCATCAAGAGAATGAGAAGTTCTTGACCAGCCTTGACAAACAAATAGCTAATTGTTATTAATTTTGCTAAAGCAGCTCAGAAACAAGAGAAACTCCCACTGATTCAGAGGCCAGGACAGCACACACAATCTGTAATAGTTGGTTACATTACATATTAATTAGAAATAGGAAGAAAATGTTAGGTGAGAAAATATTTACATCCACAGGGTCAAATTCACCACTGACATAAGCTGGCACAATGGAGTAAATGTTGTGCTATTTTAAGGCAGTAGAGAATTTAGGGTTTAATGTTTTTAAAAAGACAATAAGTGTAGGGATGTTTTTCTTGGGAGGCACTGGAAACAAATTATTTCCAATCTGTGCACTGCTGAGGGCTGGTAGGTAGGTAGGACATCAAAGAAGCTTAACTGCATAATGAGATGATGGCAATGGACAATACTGCTGAGCACCTGTAGTTCCCATTCAAGTCACTAACTTCAGTACCACATCAGATCAGGCTGCAATAACCACCACAGGAACAAAGATTTATTTATCACACTGTGAGGTGTTACTATTTTTCTTAGGATGAGTATTTGCAGGCTAAACCATTTCACTTATTGACGATGCAGAATCACTCCAAGGTGCACAACATGCCATTCCAAATCAAATCAAACTAAGCATGCTTTTCACTAATGTCAGCAGGTGCTTAAAAAACAAAGTAACCACTAACATATCAAGTGATTCCTAATCATTAAAGAAAATAATGATAAACATTTCACAATTAATTTTTATGATAAATTCCTGTTCAGGACACAGTTACATCATTAATAGCCAGTGAAAAGAATGACCGGAGGAACATTTCCTAAACCAAATCTAAATATGAAAATATGATGATGATCACTTACACTGCAGGGGGGGAGGGGGAGAGGAGGCCCACCATTTTAGCTTGCCACAGAATCTGAGAGGCAGCTTCTATTTCCTGTACCTCGTGTCCAGACAATACAGGATAAAAAAAATGTTCTAGTACTAGCAGAATAAAGCCAAAATAACCTCTAATCCACAGCACACACACAAATGGATTCACATGGTCTAGGACTGATACTCTACCTTGTCTGCGCTGGGTTGCTGATACAAGATTAGAAGTACTGACCCATTTGGCCCTTTCCAATGTAAATACTGAACATGTATCTGTGAAAGAACTGAGTAATAAATTCCTGCTTCATTCCATTCAAATTTCATTTTAGATTAAAAGTTACCTTTATTACTGAGCTTGTAAAATGCAAAGCAGAACCCTTTTCATTATTTTTAAATAAAAAAAAAACACCCCAATATAACAGAGGAAAATAGGTGCTGTCTGTCGCTGGTCCTCAATTTTGCCACAGCATTTTCAAAAACGGAACAAATGAAACAAACAAGAAAAGGAATCTAAACTTGGGGTTTGCCAATTATTACTTTACTTGTGGGTTCCATTCTTCTTCTCCCACTCCTTATCTTGTCTGTTCTAGATGGTAAATTCTTTGGTGAATGGACTACCTCTTATGTATGTATATAGTGCCTAGTGCTACTGGGCCCCAAATATCAGTATGGACTGCTAGACACTGGGAATTCAGCTAACATTAATGATACCATTCATGAGGGGGAATATTAAATTTAAAAATAAAATAAAATAAAAAACCAGATGAAAGTGATTCTACATCCATATTTAGGAAAAACAAAATATCCCACAGAAT